GGGTCCCACTGATGGTCATTGTTATACTAAAAACCACAAGGATTGGGATACCTCTCTCTGTCAGACTGATTATAACCATTGGAAAAGAGAAGGGGTCATACAGGTAGCAGAAATGGAGGGTGTGTTCTTCAGTAAGTTGTAGTTGACATGACAGCAGGAAACCAACAGCGATGCTTAAAGACAGGTTTCTTCGAAAGCTACAACTGCAACAGTGACGTTATATTAAGTCAGCACTTCTGAAAGAGTCAGAAAACTCACCAGTTCCAGGTTACCACATGTTCTATGCCACCAGAAAAAAATTATATTAATTAATAATTACATAAATAATTTAGATTTTTGGTTATAATTATGTATAAAAACAATGTGGTTTAATTTTTTATTGCAGTGCTGTAAAAAAAGTATTTTCCCTCCTACAGATTAATTCTGTTTCTCCATTTTGTCAAAGTTACATTTGTCAGATCATCAAACAGTTAATATCAGACAAAGAAACCCTCAGTATGTACAAAATGCAGCTTTCAGTTGATGGTTTCATTTATTAAGGGAATAATATATCAAAACTCTTTGCCAAAATATGATTGTCCCCCTTTTTATATAATGAATTAACTGTGATTATAACCACAGTCCATTTCCAAATGGCTCAAAAAAAATTTTGGACTGGCCTAGTCAAATTCTGGGCTTACGTTCTAATTGAGATGCTGTGTTATGACATTAAACAGGCCATTCATGCTCAAAAACCTTCCAGTGTGCCTGAATTGAAAAGATTTTGCAAATGAATGTAGGTCAAAATTCCTCAGCCAGATGTAAAAGACTCACTGACAGTTATCAGAAACGCTTGACAGCAGGTAGTGTGGCATAACCAGTTATCAGGTTAAGCAGACACCTGATTTTTCATGGGGGGGGGCTTTGCAAAGCTTATTCCCTTAATAAAAGAAATCCTCGTTTAACAAAAGCATTTTGTGTTTACTTAACTTATCTTTGTCTGATATTAACATTTGCTTGATAATCTGAAAAATTTAAGTATGACAAAAACAAAAGGGGCAAATACTTTTTTACAGCACTATCCATTTAAAAACTCATCTAATATTGTCTTTGTAGCTGTTGTCAATGCAATAAATCCCCTACTGACAGTGGAGCCAAAAAGAGCCAACTATTTTTAATAGCATAATTAACACCAAATACCTATTTGTTCGAGAACCATTAATTATCTTAATCTAGAACCTCTCTGCTTCCCTACTTTAAATCTTAACCTCCGTGTTGTTACAAATCAAAGGCCATTTTAATTAGTCTAATCCATGTAATTATAGAGAAGAAATTCTAATTCCTGAAAGAAACTGCAGGGTATTGGCTGTGCCGTCTGACCGAAGCAGGCTGCACCAATTTACCATCTGTGGGCCCTTCCTATCAGAGATCCAGCCAGTAAAAGGCTAATAAATATATTTACTTTAAACAGATATGTACCTATGATGATAGTAATTAAAAAATGAATTGGACATTTTAAAACTAAGCATTTCAATAGCTGATTAGGAAACAGATCTACAGGTTAAGCAGGGTGGAACTCCTCAATTACCTTAATGAAAGAGAATTATATTCAGCATTTGCAGCCACAGCCAAAAAGAGTTAAGAGCTCAGTTGATTACCCACAATGAATAATCCCATTTAGATGTAATGTGGTGCATGCAGGCCAACAATAGGTAAGTGAATTATTCAGTTTGCAAGGAACAGACACAAGTAGACCAGGCACCAGAGGGCATAAAGTTGTTACAGCACTGCAGTGCCATCAGGCAGTCATCAGAGCATCTAGGAGGCAGTCCAAACAGTGACTGAAGGTCACCGGAGGATAGGGAGGACTCAAACGCAATAGACAGGGTTTGCCAACCGTTGACAAGGTTTGATAGGAGCTGCATTGTGGGTTAACATGAAGCTTACTGGTCAGCACAATTAGCCTTCTACATTAGTGTTGTATTTGTCACAGTGGCTCGATGTTCAAACCATCACATACCCAGTTGCCTAAGACTTACCAGACCTAGCGAGTTCCAGGTGTTTCATCCATGGGATCTGCTCCCTAGTGAAAATGTAGCGGTCCAACCCATTTTATTGTTGCTCCTGGTGGATGTTTGTGATTGTTGTTCTGATGTAAGAAGAACCTCAACACCAGTCATTTGCAGCCACTAACCAGTTTTCTTACAGTTCTGCCCTGTGTTTAGTACCACATTATCTTCTTCTCAGCTATGACCACCTTTTTTTGCTGCTGAAGAAAACCAGATCACCTTCTGTCACATGTTTGCTATCTGTTCTACATGTTTTTTGCCAAAATTAACAGAATTCTTTTGGTATGGGCTGCATGGTGGTGCAGTCAGTAGCACTATTGCCTTGCAGTGAAGGGTCCTGGGTTCGACTCCCGGTCAGGTCTTTAGAGCATAGAGTTTGCATGTTCTCCCTATGCATGCGTGGGTTCTCATGGGTACTCTGGCTTCCTCCTGCAGTCCAAAGACATGACTCTGTTTGTCCTGTGTGTGTCTCTCTGTTGCCCTGCGATGGACTGGCAACTGCCTCTTGCCTGCAGACAGCTGTAGATAGGCACCATCTCCCCCTGCAAACTGATATGGAAGAACCTCTGCAGCTCCTCCAGAGTTACTAATGGCTGCTTCCCTGATTATGCTCTATTATTTATATATATAAAAAAAAGAAAACCAAGCTTTTTCTTCCACTTCACAATTTTGCGCCCCTTGGTGTTACAGCAGAAAAATCCAATAAAATACATTGAAGTTTGTGGAACATTTATGGGATATGAATGCTTTTGTCCAGTAATAGATCCTCATAATTTTGAAACAGTATGAGTATTAATTTTATTATCTAAAATATGTGATCCTGGTATATCACTACATACAACCACAAGTTAATCTTTGAATGCAATATTGGTAGGCTATTAAATTTAAATTTGATGCATGTACCCTGTACCATAATAATATATCTGGACAGTAGGATGGACTTTGTGACAAAGAAAAAAGAAAAACATGGGTTAATTCCAACAGACACAGCAATTGCAATATTTAATGGAAATATCTGGCATGTGTTTCTAATATCCTGCAGCCCCACTGGAATCATTTGAGGGCTGTTCCAGGACTGAATGAGACACTGGGCACTGTGAAGGAAGTCCTGTGAAGTAAAAATATAACCATATACAGGTCCTTCTCAAAATATTAGCATATTGTGATAAAGTTCATTATTTTCCATAATGTCATGATGAAAATTTAACATTCATATATTTTAGATTCATTGCACACTAACTGAAATATTT